TGATGTATTGATCCATAAATATTTTTCTTTTGCCTTAACAATTATTATCCTTTGTTACATTTTAATCTGGTTTCTAATCTCAGTCAATTGATTGTAATGTGAGTAATTTATCGCGATGGGGTTGGTGGCGTGAGATTTATTGTTACAATAAAATGTAATCCCAACGTCCCAAAAAACTTTTTACCCACTTCCATTTTTTGGACGTCCCAAAGAAAACTCCCAACTTGTTTTCTTTTTTTTAGTAATGAACACGTGACTCACAAGATTTTTATCTCATCTAAACAAACGACAGGGCTCAGGTGGTTGGGTGGCCCCCGATACGGTCTTTTCGAAAGAACTCGATGACTGCCATTCCCCCAAAGAAGGAAGAAGAAAAGTCCCATGGAAAGCCGGGATCAAGCTGTCTCTATGTCAAAGTCAGCATGGATGGTGCACCATACTTGAGGAAAGTTGACCTCAAGAACTATGGCAGCTATAAGGATCTCTCTTTGGCTCTGAAAAACATGTTCAGCTGCTTTACATTTGGTAACTCACCCCTCAAAGCTTCCCATACATCTTACTGCCACAAATAAGCGAAGATCCATTAAATGTGACAAAAAATGATAACTTGGTGCAGAATGTGTGCTTACCTTTGAGGACAAGGATGGCGATTGGATGCTCGTCGGTGATCTCCCATGGGAGTAAGTTTCTTGTTGGAGGGTCCGGTTTCCGGTCTGGTCTGATATTATGTAAACTTTGTTACTATTATTATGTGATGCTGGTCTGATCTGATCTGGTATTATTGAAGTGAGTTGAAAAGAATATGTCAGTTTTGTAGCATATGATTCTTTTGTGTGTGTGTGATTGTAGACTGTTTGTCAATGCTTGCAAGCGACTAAGGATCGTGAGAAGTTCTGATTCAACAACTGGTCTAGGTAAGTTCTGAAATTTAACAAAAATCCAACAAGAAGGGTATGGGGAGGATGTGTTTATGCACACCTTACCTCTTGATTTAGTCGACTAAAATTAAAATGTATATAATATTTAAAAAAAAGTGCACAAATTGTCAATGATAGGGATACTCATAATTTGCTTCTTCTGAGCCATATTCTTATTATTATTATTGCAGCAGCTCCGCGGGTGATGGAGAGAAGTGCATAAGCCACTAAACACGCACTTCTCTCGCAGCAAGATGATCCATTTTCTCCTCTGGTCTGTCTTATGACTTGTTACGTGTCGTCGTTATTCTATCAACTTAGCAGCGAGAGGATCCATTATATGTTCCATCTTGTAGGGGTAGTTATTTATTCCAATGTGTTATTCTTGCTTTGATATATATAAGCTTGCACTTCTCTATCATTGCATTATTCTTATTACACATTGTTATATGAGGCTACTTCTTTTGACACCAGTGGATGCAGTCTGTAATGGTCCGTGATATCACCGGAACCTATCACGAATTGCTCGTATTTAAATGGTTTAGTATCAGTACGGTGTGAACCTTAAAATCAATCGCTACCATTATAGTGCGGTATGGTACCATGCTGGTTCAGTTTTTTTGCCCAACCCTACATGATAGAACCAAATGGGGACATGAGGGGCAATTGTCCACTCTTTAACAAAATACTCCGGTAGTATCAACAACTCAGAGTATGCAGTATGCTTGTCTCCAACTCCTGGACACAAAAGCTTTATGGGCTTTAAAAAAAAAAACTCCGTAGTAGTAATAAAAAATGGGATTGAAGAGGGTACCATTTACTTAAATGTCAACTCAAATTTATATTAAATATTGATACAAAACTAATATTATTAGATTTGTTTTATATTGTATTTTCAAAATATTGTTTTATGTAATCATTATACTTTATACTCCCTCCGTCCTATAATGTTCTTCCCACACACTTTTTACCCGGTCAAATTTTAATAACTTTCTTTACCTATTTTCATTAGGTATTGATAAAATAATATAATCTTGTCACCACTTGTTTTGTAGAATTTTTGAAGTAGTTTTTAAATATATAAATTTTATTTTTTAATTTTACACCTACAATCAAATAAATTGAATTGAAAATAAAATCGGTCAAACTTCGTAAAATGAACCGGGAAGATCATTATAGGACGAAGGGAGTATAATTTACTCCCTCTGTCCACAAATAAACTTTTCATTGCGTGTTACGGTGTTTGATTGAAGTTATTTTCAAATTATTTTATATGAAAAATAGTGTAAAATTTAAAAATAAAAATCATATATTTAAAAACTATATCAAAAGATCTACAAAACAAGATGTGACATGACTATATTATTTTATCAAATGGGTGACAAAAACAGACCAACAAAGTGAATAAAATTTGACCTTGTGAATAGTAAACGGAAAGTTTATTTGTGAACAGAGAGAGTATTTAATTATATGTTAAAAATAGTTGATTGCAAAAAGACACAACTTAACAAAAACTCAAAGATGAAAGGAATATCTAATAAAACAATATAGTCATAGCATAAAAGGAGAATGTGTTTTTTATCCATCCATATTTATAATGCATGTTTCTATGTACTAAAAACCATTATGTACTTAAAATATTGTTTCTCTCTCGCCTATTCATAAATTCCAACAAAAAAAATTTCATTTTAAATTTTTTGTACCGGATCAAAGTGCAACAAAACCAGTAAAATCCTACAAATAAAAAAAACAGAGAAAAATTGGTACAAATCAAAAATAAAAACATGCAAGATAAATTGGGTGAGAGAGTAGTTCATTTTCCATTTTCAAAGGGATGGCTAGTACAACAACAACAACCTTCAACCAAGCCTTATCTCAAAAGTATATGTATATATATTCATAGAGAAGGAAATTTCTTCCTCGTCGCATTTTTTCCTACTCGCCAAGCGCGAACCGAACGAACCTCCTCACTTTTATGTTCTCCCCAAGAGCAGCAACAGTTTGCTTCACAAAATCTCTAACCAAAACACTCTCATCCTTGATGAATGGCTGCTCCAGGAGACTAAGCTCCCCAGCCCTCTTCTCCTCCTCCACCATTCCCTCTGGAACATCTTCAGTACTTACATACTGTACCTTGGGGCAAGCCACGACTTGCATTGCCAGATCAGCGACCAGTTCCTTGAACCTCTCGCTCCTCCCCACAAAGTCAGTCTCACAGTTGACTTCAATCAGGACACCTACGCGGGAGTCGTGGGTGTGGGACCCTATCCTCCCCTCAGCTGCAAGCCGGCTGGACTTCTTGTCGGCACTCCACAGGCCTCTCTTCCTGAGATGGTCTTGTGCCTTTTCTAGGTCTCCCCCAGTTTCAGACAGCGCTTTCTTGCAGTCCATCATGCCGGCTCCAGTTTCTTCGCGGAGCTGTTTTACCAAAGCAGCAGAGACTGCTTTCTTGGGAGCCCTGTGTAAGTAAATAAAGCATTAAGGTTTATATTCCTACACGTCTGAAAAACAAACGTATGGGTTTTACTACTCAGAAAAAGGTAGAAACTTACTCAACAGGTTCATCAGCTCCAGCTGACACTGGCTGCTGCTTAGCTGGTGGTGGCACACTCTTACCTGCAGTCTGTGCAGCAACCTCTGCCGCAAAATCATAATTTTTTTTCTCTAAACCTTCCCCGAGATTGTACCTCACAAATCTCTTCATTTTAATGTTCTCTCCCAATGTCGCAATGGTGTGATTGACCCAATCCTTGACAACAACCTTATCGTTCTTGATATATGGCTGTTCCAGCAGTGCATATTCCGCAAGCCTCTTCTTAATCCTCCCATCAACAATCTTGGATCTAATCTGCTCCGGTTTTGACAACAAATCTTCCTTCTGCATCTCTATATCTCTTTCCTTGTTGACAACCTCTTCTGGAACGTCCTCCGTGGAAAGATACTGCACTTGAGGGCATGCAGCAACTTGCATGGCTAAGTCATCAACCAATTCCCTAAATATGTCTCCTCTGGATACAAACTCTGTCTCACAATTCACCTCTACAAGCACACCTATCCTACCATCATGAACGTAAGAGCCAATTCTTCCTTCAGCCGTGGCCCTACTGGCTTTTTTATCTGCAGTAGCGAGCCCTTTATTTCTAAGATGCTCCAATCCTTTAACAATGTCACCGTCTGTTGCAGAGAGAGCTTGCTTGCAGTCCATAATTCCAGCTCCTGTCTCTTCACGCATCTGCTTCACAGGTGCTGCAGAAATATCAAGATACAATTTTTTATTTCCAGAGTATTTATTTATCCATCCGCACCAAAAAGAGTTTAGTTTCATCAAGATACTTTTTTTTTAAACTTTTGGTAAGGGACAACTCTTTCAGACAATCAATGTTAAATAACATTTAAAGCTTTTTTTTGTTCAATCAAATTTAATACTCCATATACTTAACTTATTAGAAACACCTCTTTGAAAAATACACATTAAATTCAATCAGAAATTAGAGACTGTTTTTGGGACAAGATTATGTTTCTAAATTTAGTTCTTTTTTGGGCAGAGGGAGTAATTATTAACAATAATCATTACTCAATATAGTCACATTTTCTTCTGCTTCGTCCAATTTTTTTAACTGGCCATGCTTCTTGTCCTTTCATCTGACAGTCACACGATGTCAATATAACTAGATCTAGAATTTATTGCTTCCCTCCCATTTTATTGTTTTCGATTGATTTTCAGCTGATATAAAAAGAAAAACAAATGATATCCGATCAACATTCCTATTTTAACCCCTAACATAATATCCTTTTTTAAATTTACTTTTTAGAAATCACAGAAAGGTGTGAAAATGAATCGACATTTCAAATCAATTAATGGTAAGAATGGTTAAACAAAAAGCTAGTGTTAAAAACTTAAAAGTAGATATAGGCTCAGTACTTTACAGAAGCAGGGCACATAGTAGGGAAACTAAATACAGAGTATCATGCAATCTCTAGGGTTTCTAAACTAAAATGAAAATAAAACAATAATGCTGATGCAAATAGTTCTAAGATTTCTATCTTGATTATTGGCAAGCATCATTAGCTTAATTCAGGAATACTCATAACAAAGGACACCGGCTGAAATGAAAATCCCACTGGTGGGAAGGAACCTTCCCAGCTACCCAAGGTGGGAAGGAAGTTGTTGACTCACCACAGAAGGAAGCTATGGACACTGGCCGAAATGAAAATCCCACTGGTGGGACAGCTAATAATCAAGACCCTTACTGCTGGGAATGAGATTGCAAGGAAGAGGAAAGGGAAAGATACTCTTGTTGAAGTGCACCATGGTGCTGGTGGAAGGAAAGGTGGGGAAACCTAAATTCATGGGTGGGAGCTCCGGCTCACGTCCAAAATGAAAATCCTCAGTTGGAATGTTCTAGGCTTGTGTAAAGCCTCGAAACAATCTTTTTTGAGTAGCTTTTTGGTCACTAATGGCGTCCATCTATCCTGTGTACGGGAGAAAGCTTTCTGGAGCCATGTTAGAGAGCAGTGTGTTGGGCACGTCCCACACCGGCAAATCAATAAAAAATACTACCTCCATATAAAGAAAGGTTAGGCACTACCCATTGGCTTAAGCTTTTGCTTAGAAAGTGGATCTGGACTTTATATTAGAAAAATGGTGAAATCTCACCCAAAACTCCGCCCAGTTCACTCAGGCCCACCAAAATTCCACCACCAAGCTTAATAGCCTTTACATAACTACCTGCCAGGTTGGCGTGCTGTTACCAATTTTGATTTTATTGCTGGTGGCAGGATTGCAATTCCGTGGGATCCTACATATTTTTTTGTAATGTTGTAGATATTACTGAACAGTATGTGCATTGTGATATCACTTGTTGTATTACCCAAGTCCTTTGCTATTTCCTTTGTGTATGGAACATGTAGTGTTGGTGTGAGAAGGATTTTGTGGTCTAGATTGGCTAACATTGCAGATTCTATGAGCAAACCGTGGGCAATTATGGGAGATTTCAACTGTGTTTCTGCCTCAAATGAAAGAGTGAACTGCCAAAACAGTATGGCCTATGTTGGAGACAATGCTTTGGATGATGCCCCTTCTACTGTGCTCTTCTTTACCTGGCAAAGGAGGGAGAAATGGGCTAAGCTAGACAAGTTCCTTCTGAATCGTGACTGGGCTGATTCTGGGCTTGACTGCAGAGCTGCTTTTATGGACTTGACGATTGAATCTGACCACTGCCCAATTGTGCTCTCCCTTTTTGGCCCCTCCCCCAGTGGCTCCAAGCCCTTTAAAATTTTCAACATGTGGACCCCCCGTGATGATTTTGGTGAGATTGTTAGAAGGGTCTGGGAAGGGCCTCTTAAAGCCCTCAAAAGCAAAGTCTTTGGTCATATCTCCATCAAAGCAACAAAGGCCAATGATAAGTATAAGTCCCTTATGAAACTCCTGGTTGATGATCCCAGCAATCCCTCCCTGATTGATATGAACTCCAAGAAGACAGAAGCCACCTTCCTCATTGATGCTAAGAGATCCTTCAGCAAAAGGCAAAATGTGACTTCCTTGTTGACAGTGACAAGGGCACATGCTACTTCCATGCCCATGTCAAGAACAAGACTAGTAATGCTATCCCCTTCCTGGTCAGAAGTGATGGACTACCTCCAGTAGTGAAGTTTTTGGCAACCATGTTCCTGCCACTCCTATCTCTCAAAAGATGATGCTCCTCTGGCCCCCTTATCCCCCCCGAGGCTGCTCATGGGTAGCTGGTTGAGGTAATTAGAGAGGAGGTCAAGCAGGCTGTCTTTGATATTGGGAACAACAAGGCTCCTGGCCCGGATGGATATCCCTCTGCCTTCTTCAAAATTCAGTGGGGTTGGTAGGAAAGGAGGTTTTTGCTGCTGTGTGTGAATTCTTCACCAAAGGAAAGCTGCTTAACTTAAGCAGATCAATCACTGTGTTGATCCCACAGTCAAAGATTTCAGGCCTATCTCTTGTTCTAATGTCATCTACAAAATCATTGCTAAGGTTCTTGCCCAGAGAATGGCCCCCCCTCCGGCCGTCTTTTGTTGACCCAGCACAGTCTGCTTTTGTGGAGGGGAGATCCCTAGTTGACAATATTTTCCTTACCCAGCAACTTGTGAAGGGCTATGCAGTGAAAAGGACTTCTCCTAGGTGTATGCTCAAGGTGGATATCACCAAGGCTTTTGACACAGTTTCCTGGCAGTTTCTGGGGTCTGTTCTGATTGGCCTTGGGTTCCCTAGGCAGTTTGTTTCTTTGATTATGGAATGTGTCACCACCACTTCCTTTTCTCTCTCCCTCAAAAACTGTCTACATGGGTTCTTAAAGGCGTAGTGTAGGCTTAGACAGGGGGGAGCCTTGGCCCCTACTCTGTTTATTCTTTCTATGGACTACCTCTTTAGAATCCTTAACTGGCGTACAAGGGAGCTTGCCTTCAGCTTTCACCCAAAATGTGCCCCTCTAAAGACCACTCAATTGTGATTGCTGATGATGTTATGCTTTTCTCGAGGGGAGACTATGTTGCTGTTAAAATTCTTGTGGATGCTCTTGCTGAGTTCTCTAGTGCCTCTGGCCTGAAGGTTAGCCCCACCAAATCCAACATCTTCTTGGCTGGACCCTCTGAAGAAGGATGGCAAAACATCTTTGGACTTGTGGATTACCCCCTGGGTATGCTTCCTGTGCGTTACCTGGGAGTGCCACTTACCTCAAAGGATTAAAGAAGAAGAGGCATTGATCATGGACTTTTTGTGGTCGGGGCATGGCTGGTGGGTTTGAGAGGCTTTGTGATATGGTCATTTGTTATATGGAAAGGTGCATGAACTACTTCGGGTCAAACAAACTAAAAGACCATGGATACCTTTCATTGGAAGAAATATACCCATCCTGAGTATTCCATTATTGTGTGGCTTGGTTTTCGTAATAAATTGCCCACCAAGGACAACTTCCTTTTCCTGGCCATGGGTCAACAGTGCAATATTGCAGGACAAAGCAGGAAACAGTGGCGCATCTCTTCTTTAAATGCTCTTTTTCAGTGTGGTTTGGGAAACTGTCCAGGATTTACTTGGCTAGTTGGCTTGGCATAAGAGATGACCACATTGCCGAATGTTTTGAAGTGGGTGTGCAAGGAATGTTGCGGGGCTCGCATAAGAACAAGGTGACTAGGTTGCTTTTTTGTTGCACAACCTACACAGTTTAGACAATGAAGAACTTACACCCCTCGTGGCACCAACCAAGCCGGATGGCCTCCCTAGCTCCTTGACTGGAACTCTCAAGTTTGGTAATATTAGTTATCCTTACGTAATTTTTTTTAGGGGCCCGATCTAGTCCTCCCCATGTACTTTTTCTCTTTTAATAGTGTTCTCTTTTCTTTATAAAAAAAAATACAGCTAAAACTATTATTATGGAAAAACTATTAGGAGTTACTCAGCAACTTTCAACAAGAACTTCATAGACAGAGAAGATAAAAACCAACCTGTGGTTGACGATACCCCACTTGGTAATGTGTGAGTTTCGTTCTGCATTTCATCTGCATCAACTTTATTTCCCATTAGGACTTCTCCATCTGTCTGAGGATCTGTATAAAATGCTTATTAGCATGCTTTAGATATCTTTGAAAGAATTATCACAAGGAATCCATGACTGGTTGGCCACTCGGCCTAACATCAACTTGAGTTCATTACTATTCACACAACATACACAATTTACACAACAAAATTTAGGTTTCAAAACGCCTGTTTTCAAGTTATTACTTAGCCTTAATTTTTTGATAAATTTAGGAGTTCATATGTACCTGTCTACATTATAATTTTTATAATACCCAATCTGAGAAACCATGTTGCTAATGCATCACAAATTTTAAGTAACTGGGAAAGCATCTATTACACAGGAATAAGACAAAGAACTGGCAACAAACCTTCAGCCACACAATTTATGTTTTGAGAAACCACACTTTGTTCACACATCCTCAGAGTACTGTTGTTTTCCTGGAAATCAATGCCACTAGGTTCCTCTTCACCTTGGGTGGGAGAGAGTTCCCCGGAATGACATCTTTGAGTTTGGGCTTCATCATTCACATTATGATCATGCTCATTATGAACCTTTTCTGAACTTTTGGATGAAAAACTTTTGTTAGTTATTTCCTGAGATAAATCAGGTTTGGCAGTGGTTTCCAAAACATTAGATGCAAATGGCTCTTCACTACATTGATCCATTACAGTTTTAGACAACAACTCATCCTTAGTGGCAGCAGGCTCTACACTTGGCTGATCTGTGGTGGTGCTGTTTGCTGTAGCCTCCAATGTTTCAGAAGATGCTTCAAATTCATCCTCAGTGGCAGAAGGCTCTACACTTGCCTGATCTATGGTGGTCATGTTTGTTGTAGCCTCCAATGTTTCAGAAGGTGTTTCCAATTCATCAATCATAATGCTAATGCTTTGACTTGCACTACAAGGTGTGTCTTTTTCCGATGTCTCAGATAATGTATCATTCACCATACTTGCACTGGTTTGGGCTTTGTTATCATCATTAAATGACTTCTTAGCTAGTTCTTCCTCCCTCTGTTCTAAAAATTTAGATATTTCTTTATTTTTGCGGAATGCTAAAGCAAAGGGATTGGTTGCTGTGTGAATAATGCCTTGGCCTTTAGCATCCAACTCCCAGGCTGATTCTTTCTTTGTGGTCAAAGTTACTTGTCCTCTAGTGATTCGCAAAACACGGACACTAACTCCCTGACCTACTTGCAGTGAAGATCCCCCCATGATGTGCCCTAACCCTTCATCATCCATCTCTAATCTTGGCAAGAAGCCATCTTCCCCTTCAGGAAGAGATATGAAAGCACCAGACCTTGTTAATTTCTTTACTATTCCTTCAAGATCCTGCCCCTTCACAAATCTTGAAGCCTTCTTGACCTCCTCTCTTATTTGGGTGCTTGTTAGAGGGGACCTCTTTGGTGTTCGAGATTTATCGTTGTTTACAGGAGCATCTTTTGGCTGCTCTGGCTTACTGGCCTCAAAATCTTCACGCATGGTCAGCGATATCCTTCCTGATTCCATATTAGTGTCAAGTAGTCTCACTTTTACTTCTTGTCCAACAGAAACGACACTTCCAATATCTTTAACGAACGCATCGCTCAAATTTGAAATGTGAACCAGTCCATCTGTGAAAGCTCCAAAATCAACAAAAGCTCCAAAAGGCTGTATTGATTTGACCTTTCCGGTGAAAGTTGCACCTGGAATCAGATCTTCGTTCTTAACAGGAGGCATTTCACTCTTTCTGGCAAACCTTGAGCGTTTTGAAGAAGCACGGTTTGGACTGGAATTTGATTTGACAGTGGTTCTTTCGCTCTGCTTTCCAGTATTGGGTGAACTTTCTGAAGCTTCCTTAAAGATGTTACCTACTGTGGGTGAATCTTCCTCTTCTACTATAACATCAGTCTTAGCTGATGACACTTTTCCAGCATCAGCTGAAATTTCTGAAGCTTCAATAGAGATGTTACCTACTGTGGGTGAATCTGCCTCTTCTACTATTACATCAGTCTTAGCTGATGACAATATGGGGTTTCTTGGTTTAGAATTTGCATCAAAGGCAATTCCGAGATGGGGAAACAGTCTAAGAGACGTTGAGAAAGGTGTGGCAGAAAATGTTTGTCTGCCAGATTTCTGATAAATGGCACATCTAGTCAGAAGTTTATTCTTTCTAGCTGTGAAGATATTTCCTGGAATTAGTGAAGTGTGGTTAAATGAGGTTGGAATTGAAGGAGCCATGCTGAATGGATATGTGAAGCACAGTAGTAGTCAAGCACAAGTTATAAGAGTTTCTGCATCACCCCATCCCTGTAAATCAACAGAAGGGGAAATTAAAATCAAGCAAATAGAATGCTGTTGCAATAGAAAGGAAATATGCAAATAAATTGTTCTTTTTCTTCCTTCATCTTGAAGTCAACAAATAAAGCCAGTGACGTGATAAAATGCAAGTGCAGAAGATAATAAAAAATATATAGTTTCTCTGTCACTTTCAAAATGTAAAAAATATAAAAGCTCTAAAAAAATTCAATTGTTCCTTTCCATTTCCCAATCAAAAAGGAAGAAAAGTAAAAAGATCACACCAAATCACAAAAACAAAAAATAATGATCATATGATATACTCCGTCTATCCCAAAAAGAGTCCTCATTTCCTTTTAGGGACGACCCAAAAAAAAAGTCCCTCATTCCACAATTGGAAAACTTTTTTTTTATCCCTTATTCTTTTTTTCTCCTCTGCATCAATTTCAACCACACAATTTTTACATCAAAATGTTAACTATTCCTTCCGCACTCACAAGTAGGAAACTGAGTTCATTTACATGCAATATGATGAGCGAAGAATTTGCAAGACCATATCAAATGATGGGTAAGTGGGTATGGTAACATCGAACATTTTCCTGTACTTGTACTTAACTGGCCTAAAGAAAATATAGAACTTTTTTCAGTCAAGATGTTGAGATCGTGTATTGCTAAGTGCCTAGAGCAGATGTTGAAACTGATGAATTAAAATCTTGAAATCTTGTGGTGCTAATAACTGCCAGGGAGTGCTGAGTTTCATCAATTACAAGCTTGAAATCTAACTAACCCAGTTTATTGCATTATACATGTAAGAATATGAATTCACGAGAAAATGAGAATAAGGGCAACCCAAATAGTTTAAACCTCTAATTTTCATAAGACACGTGCATCACATATAACAAGCCAGAGCAATAATAGAAATAACAGGTATATATAACAACAACAACAACCCATAACAGGTATATATAAGACCCCTGAAAATGAAACACTAAATTCCAAGGGACTTGACCTTGAAAATATGTGTTCTATTTGTGGTGAGAGGGGAGAAACTTTAACTCATCTGTTCCTCCTATGTTTGGGAGGGCGTCGGATTTAGATGGGAGTCGGACACGACGGCTTCATTCCAGTTTAGGTTCAATAGTTGTGCAGTGGTCTATTCCACGAAGGACCTTAGCATGGTGGGCTGGACTGTTTGGATCATTTGGAAGGCTTGAAATCAAGCAGTATGGGAACACCAAGTGCCCATTCCTTCTCTCACAGTGCAAAGGATAAAAAATTGATCTCAGGATTGGGAGAAGAGATGCATTAGCTTGGAGGCTATAGTGAGAGATGTGCACTTAGCTGATGAAGTGATGAACTCTTGCCTGGTAGAAAGGCTTTTGTGGATGCAACTATCTTTACTAACTCAGGTATGGGGGTTTTGGGTGTGTTTTATTTGAACATGATGGAGTTTTTCAGGAAGCCATTAATGGTAGGCTTAGATGTGGGACTAGTCCTTTACTCGCATAAGCTATGGCGATCCGTGAAGTTTTATCTTGGTTGAAGGAAAAATCTATTTCAA